TCTCTCTCTCTCTCTCTCTCTCTCTCTCTCTCTCTCTCTCTCTCTTCCTTTCTTTCTTCTAGACAAGGTTTCTCTGTGTAGCCTTGGCTATCCTGGATCTAGCTCCTTAGACAGAGGAGCTTAGGCTGGCCTCGAACTCACAGATCTGCTTGCCTCTGCCTCCCAAGAGTTGTGATTAAAGGTGTGCACCACTACTGCCCAGCTTGTAGGGCATTTTCTCGATTAATGATTAATTGGAGGGCTCAGCTTACTGTAGAAGTGACATCCTTGGGCTGGTGGTCCTGGATGCTATAAGAAAGCAGACTGAGCAAGTCATGGGGAGCAAAACAGTAAGCCATACTCCTCTATGGCCTCTGCATCAGTCTCCAGCTTCCTGCCTTGAGTTCCTGTCCTGACTTCCCTGGATGGTAGACTGCAAGCTGTAGACTGAAATAAAACCCTTTCCTCCTTAGGTTGCTTTTTGGTCATGATGTTTTATCAAAGCAACAGAAACTCTGACCAAGACAATGTCACTTTAGCTTATTTCTTAAGAAGCAGGATGACTTAGCTTGCATATGTGGTGATATGTTGTGTACCCTAATAAACTTATCTGGGGATCAGAGGACTGAGCCAGCCACTAGATTAGACATAGAAGCCAGACAGTGGTGGCACACACCCTTAATTTTATCACTCGGGAGGCAGAGATCTGTCTGGATCTCTGTGAGTTCAAGGCCACACTGGAAACAAAGCCAGGCAGTGGAGGCACATACCTTTTATCCCAGTACTGGGAAGCAGACACGCCTTTAATCCCAAGAAGTGACGTCAGGGCAGAGAAAGGTATATAAGGTGTAAGGAAACAGGAACTCACTCTCTCTTTCAGTGGAGGATTTCATAGGGGTAAGAGCTAGTGGCTTGCTCTCTGCCTCTCTGATCTTTCAGCTTTTACCCCAATATCTGGCTCTGGGTTTTTTATTAATAAGACCGTTTAGCAATTTGTGTTACAGGCATATTAAAAAAATTTTTTAATTAGTAAGTACAGGAGAGATATCAACTCAATAAAGGCCAGTGAAAGAAAACATCAGTTTCCTTAGGGGATACCAAAAATCTCTCCCAGTTGTGTTTTCTCTACTTGTTTTTAGCCTTATAAACTTAGCTCAACAAATAGGTGACCATACCTGGTTTCCATCGATTTTATAATCATGCTTGGTGGCATAGACTTTTCCTACAGACACGGCAATAGCATAAGCCACCACAGCAATGGAAAAGGATGCAGCCAGCATATCAGAAAACAGGCCCACAGACGGAAGTGCAGGAGGCAAGAACCTAGAAAGTGAAAAAATCTTGTGAAGATTTCACAGCTTTTCCCCAGCTTTACCAAATGCTGTGTCTACTCAGTCACGTGGTACACACGCAAGGACATGGCCCAAGCAAACAAAAGCACATGGGATACATAAATAAGAACATCTGCTTTCCTAGTTTTTAACCAGAAGTTAGTGTTAGCTCACTGGCTGTTGGAGAGGATTTTTTGTTTTGTTTTTATACTCTGACATGAATAAATCTGTCACTATGGATTCTTTAATACAACTCCATCCATGCCACTTCACATGTAACATTTTTCCTCACATAATTTCACCTTCAAGGTTCTTTGGCAATACAAGAGATTCTAGGTATGTTATAAATTTAGTCTGTGTGAAAAGATGTCAATTCTGTTGAAGGAACAAAGACTATATGACACTGAAAGAACTCAGCAGAAAGTTCTAAAGAACCATGACATTTAAATCTTAATTTTAAGACGGAAAAAAACCCTCATCCCACATTAAATGTATATGATTATAATCATCCCCCACAGTCAGTAAAATAACACACTGATTGTGTGTTTTCACTATTCAACAAAGCCAAAGTTTTTCTATAAACTATTCAAAAATGAAACATATGAACATGATTATGAAATTTGTCCCCAAATGTAAAAGCTTGGAGGAAGAGCTTCATTTACCTATAGAATATCCATATTGTGCAATCCTGAAAGTCCCCAGTCATTAAAACAAATCCCACCACCTGTGCATCTTGTAATTAAATAAAGTGGGAATGGAAGTTTTAGAGACAAACTGTAGCGAAGTTTTGAGCTAGTGAGCTCTCTAGAGTGCTGTTGAACCTGTCTCTCTCATTTTGATATGAGAACTGCAACCCAGAAGAGAGAAATGAGTGGCTTGAAGTTTTAGTGGGTCCATGTTGGAGATTGGATAATTGGGTAGTAAGACCTGCCAGGGCTCTGCTGTTGTGAAGACTTTCCCCCAACAGGGTCAATTTTCAGACTTCTCCCTCATCCCTCATCCCTTCTCCTGTCCTGTGTGTAGACTCCAGAATGGACTCCAGCTATAGACAGTCAGCATGTTAGAAACAACCCATACTTGAGTGAGTGACTCAGTATCTCTGACCTTAGATCTCACTTAATAGGATGCTTCCAAGACCCAGTCAAGTCTACTTCAGGTCACTAGGACTCTATAAAAGCTAAACTGTGAAAAGGTTTTAGTTTTGATAGTAGCATGATGCTCACTGCCTCCATGACTGTAGTGTTCTCCAAATATTACCCAATCCTTAATTACTAAGGTTAAAAATTGTGAGGTATGAAGTCAAAGGACTTCAGTTATTGAGTGACTTTATGACTTTGGGCACATTGTTTAAACCTACTAAATTGTTTCATTGACTGTCATAGAATGACTATGCCCTCTTTTCATAAAATTTAATGAGATATTATTGTGTAACTAGTTAACTCCTTTTTACTAGTGGTGCTCAGCCTAGGCTGGAAGAAGCTAAACTTGCCACATTCTCATCACTGCTTCTGCTTCCTTGCTGTACTTCAAGGGTGTCAATCATTTGTCCAAAGTAAATTAGGGGAGGCTCTATCTGCCCATCTTCTAACGACCGAATTAAGAATATATTCTATTACCTGACTTAACACTTCCTAAACTACATGATCATCCCATGGGCTTGTTAGCCCTAGCCAACCCAGTCTGACCCAGTCATGCAGAGAAAGGAGCATATGAATACATCCTTATCCTGAAGACATGAGTATGGGGAATGGTGCTTCCCAAAGAGCCCAATAATACACAAAGGGGGGGTCACATGTGGTAAACATGCTAATTGGATGTTTCACTTCAGGTTGGTTGTGCATGTTTGGCAAATGTTCCCCAACCCAGCTAAACAAGGGCAGGAATCCACAGGAAACAGCCATCTCCATTCTATCATGCTATCTTTCCTGGGCCATACTTCCAAGTTCACTGCAAATGACACCATGTGAAAACAGTGGCAATTAATATGACAAAGAGCACATCAGGTACAGACTGGTAAGAGAGGAACCAGTCACTGAGAGCAGAGACAGACTAGGGTAGTAAAGGGAATGACATTCAAAGCACAAATGCTCGCTCTCTCTCTCGCTCTCTCTCTCTCTCTCTCTCTCTCTCTCTCTCTCACACACACACACACACACACACACACACACACACACACAGTGGAGACAGGTAGGCTGGAAGAGAAGCACATGTTGAAATGAATGAAAAACTGGACACACCAAGAACTGCAGGATGAGGACCAGCAGCATCAGGAGAGTGGCAGGCTGTGACTGTGGGACAGAGAAGGCTCCAGGTGTGAGTGAATCCCTGGAGACACTAAGACACTGACTAGACAAAGATAGGTTGTGTTTTTTAACCAATAAGGAGTAGAGAGGTGGACAGAGCCACCCTGCTGACCACTAGTCCTCTCACCCTCACACCCATCTGTTGATAAGGTTTCTATTTCATCACTGTGACCACTCTCCTTATCTCTTACATTACTGGAATGGATTCCTCATCTGGTTGCTTAGCTGCTTTAATTCACTGTCTACAGTGCTAACAAAAGTGGCCACTCTCATGCTTCTCTCATGCTTTCAAACCCTCCAACAGTTAACTTTCATGGTGGTTTCTTTGCTGATGCTCACCTCTCACCTCCTCTATCTTATTTTATGCTCCAGTTGCAATGAACTCCTTGCTATACCTCCAAAGTGCCACTTTCTTTGTTACAGCTGCATGTTTTATTCAAGCATCCCCATGACCTTTACCCATTACTGCCCTGCCTTACTTACTGTTTCCTACATTATTTGGCTGATTAATATCATCCTTAAAACATCAAGAAGTTATCCTTCTTCTAATGCACAGCAAGCTCCACCACAGCACTTATTCCTGGAGGATGACTGTGTCCTCACGAGCCTGGGAACTACCCACTGAACATCCAGAACACTGCCTACCACCTGGTAGGTGCTTCCACACAGATAAGTGAGGAGGATAAGCATCTGAGGTATTATTTTGTGTACAAATGAGAAATGTCAGGCAAATAATATAACAGGCTACTTTAGTCATCTGATGGGCATCTAGGTTTCAAAAAGATAAGCACAACTGTCTCTTCAATCAAAAACCAAGACATTCAGAAGAGCTGGTGAACTACAAAGCAAACAGAAATATTTGAAATATTTTGATGGAAATGTAATATTCTTAAGATTGTGTTTGAATATCAGAGTACAGAAAGTAAGGAAAAGCTCTAAAAATCAAATCAAAACAAATAGCCTTCCATAGTGGAAAATGTACAGTGGGACATAGGAGCTAATCCAAAGAGTCTTCAATGGCTCTGAAAAGACAACTTGATCAACAAAAAAGTAGCATTAAAGTATACCTCAGAGAATGACATGACTACTCATGAGATCACTGACATAATAGATAAATGGAGAGAAGAAACAAGCTTAAGTAGACAAGACAGTCACTGTTTGGAGCTATGCAATGGGAGGTTGTTCTTGTTCTGGGGACTGAATGTCACCATGACCTTTGGAGAGACAAAAGGAAGCTGCCAGTAGCATTCTGACTGGAGACACAGGAAGAAGGTTCCTTTTCCTTCTCTGGTGATGAACTCAGTCACCAGAGCATTCTCATTCCCACTCTGGTTTCTCATCTTTCCATGTCACCCTTTCCTTTGCAGATGTGTTAATATCTTTAGAATTGTTTCTGGACCACCAAATTAGACAGCCAGAACCTTTCTTGTGCCTTATTTGTAATGGCATGGCTTAGGGGGGTTATTCCCTCAGCCACTGTTTTCAGAGAGCCCACTGTAAGATAGATATTATACTAGGGAGACAGAGATGAATGCCACAAATGGGGACACTACCACAAAGTGTCCCCTAAAGCTAAGTTAGCAATCAGAGGAGCAAGCATGACTAAACCAAAGGGCAGGAAGCTAAAGATCCTGCAAAGGGGAGCAGCTAGGAATTTCAATGTGAGGAAAAGTGAGTCCCCACTGCAAGCACTGGAGCAGGGATTCACAGGCCTGGGCTTCAGTCCATCCCTGGTCTGTGCATACCAGAAGCTTAGGAAAGAGTTCTGCATTTACACGTTTCTACATAAGCATTTGTGACTACAAAACAACTCGGTCTTCAGGGTGGAAATTCCACAGCTCACGTTTCATCCTCCAGTCTTTTACAACCTTTACTACCTAAATATAGTTTTCTAGTGTAAAAGTTCTCAAATTTACCTGATCAGAAGAATCACTTGAGACACTTTTGAAAAAGAATTGTTTCCAGGCCTCCTCCAGACAGCCTGAATCCACAGGTTTGAGGTGGAAAGCAGGAAGGTAACACACAATTTAGGTGTTACAAAGGGTACATTTGTAACACTGGAATGGGCAATATGTAATACAAGTTTCATGTACTAGTTGTTTTAAAGATATCTTTAAATTGTTATTGGAAAAATTGTAAGATATTTACTCAAATGAGATCATTTGCTGTGGAAGCACTGAGGAGTTTACATTACAAGCATGGAAACGCTAGGACAATGTGGGGCCCACCCTCATTAGAAGGAAGAGAAACTACAGCTTATTGATTGACCCCATCTGCTTACAAACACTGTAGTCAGTGTTGTAGATGTGGCAAATATGTGGGCTTCCTCTTAACTGTAGTGTGAACCGCTTCATTTGCTCTGCATTTTTATGAGACCTCTCAGTGACATTTCACAAGCTTGAGTTGAAGCTTCCTCTGTGTACAAGTTGACAGTGACATAGAGGGATTAAGGACCTTGGCCTTTTACTCTTCTAATTCACAAAAATGTCTAAATATATGTATAATTTACACAAAAATAATGCAACTTATTTATAGGTATGAAAGATAGCATTTTTATCTGTGGTTGATTACATTGTAGAGAATTTAAGCCAGACATCTGAGATTCCTTAAACAAATTGTTTATAATGTAATCAATGCTAATTGTGATATGTTCATATTACACTGTAATTATACATACATGTTTTAATCAGGAGTCTGACTGAATGTTCATGTCCTGCCACACTTTAAGAAAATGGAGCATGTAAGGTCTGCTTTTAACAAGCCTGAACTTGATCTCCACATGCACTGTTCATCTGATGTTTTGTGCACATCGCATTTCTTCAAGATCACATGAAAGTAAGACTATCAATGGTGAAGCGAAACTGGCAATAAAAAGTTTCATTTAACAAAGTACTGCCTTAGTTTATTAGCGCTATCTGAGAGGAACACCACACTCACCCACTTGGGATGGACTTAACAATGCCAGCATTGTAATTTTTTTCCAAGTTGGCCCCGTAGGAAATGGCAGTGGCAATTATTGTCTGAAATAAAAGAAAAGAAAAAAATGTAAAAAACCAACTCCACTGGCCTTGGCAATTCCTTGCTTGTCAACCTAATTCGTATTGAATTTTCTGACCATTTATTCTACTTACCACGATCACTTCTATAGGAATAGGGACTGGGATTTTGTGCTTAAATCGATCATTTAATTCCTTAACAGCCATACAGATGATGATGGTGAGTAACCCAGCAATGAAATCTGCAATGTTGGTATCACTGATATTTTGAAAAATCTCAATTAGTGTCTGTAAAGAGAAAATGAGTGTATATGACATATGCTATACAGACATATACATAAGAACAATCCTCCAACATGAACAGCCACATCACATCAAAGAGCACATGTGAGTCTTAAAAAACGGGACTGGCAAAAAAATCTTAAAAATGGGACTGGCAAGATGCTCAGTGGGTTAAGGTGATCACTGACAAGGCTGATGGTATGAGTTTCATCCCCACAATCCATATGATGAAGGAGAAAACTGGCTCCTGAAAATTGTTCCCTGACCTCCATACCTTTGCTGTTGCCCACATGAAAGAAAACACACACACACACACACACACACACACGTACATGTACACGTACACGTACACGTACACATACACAAATGAATGAAATTATTATTTAAAAGAGTATTGGCTAATACAGGGACCATTAAGCACATAAAATTTCTAAAATATACATATGCATAAATAAATAATATAAAGCTATTATTAAAATTGTAAAAATGTATCGACTAATACAAGGAACATTAAGAACATGCAATTTCTAACATATACACACATATACAAAGTTACTAATAGTGATTAACTTGGAGAGGTGATTTTTCATTCTTGTGTTTGTTTATCTGTATTTTTTAGGGTAAAATGGAGAATTTTTCAAGGAAAACAGTGGAATGCTATCTTTAACTTACAGAAAAATAAATCAATGTTTATCTTAAGGAGGTTGTATCATGCTATTAGGTGGGATCTTTGTAGACAGGAGGGCTACAGAAGCTGACATCTGACAAGGTAATTTTCTTTGGTCCCAGCCAGCATCCTAAGTAATGTTCTTCTCCCAACCTGAATGATGTGGAAAATAACAACAACAAAAAAAAAACCCAAAAGTGTTCCATATGGAAATCCAAGTGGTACTGATCAATTCTTTGTGGTAAATTAAAATCACTGAATGGGTACATAGGCCAAGTATATATTGTTTAGAAATTAGCTTAACACTAAAATCTATTTTCTCCAAGTGGGCAGAAGAGCCAGCTCAAGGAAATTCATTTTGTTTTGTAAACACAAGGTCCCTGGAAACCAGAGTCTCCTTTAAGGGAGTCAGCAGGGAGACTCCAAGGCAGAACACTGGCATCTTTGTTCTGTTGCATCTCTTAGGTAAGTCATGTCTCAAGGAGGCGTCTCTCAGTTCTGTGCGACAAGTCTTGCCAGTGGCGACTTTCCTTTGAATAAATCTGTTTATAGCCAGGTTTTAATTTGACATAAAGGAATGGTGCATCTTAGGAGTTAAGACATGCATCTTGGTTTGTTTTTACAGATAAGTGAAATGCTGTAAATAATTATCATTATAATCTGGTGTCATGCATATAAGGAATATCAATTTATTTTGCCAGCAGCCTTGCCTGTCTGGAGTGCTTCAGGAGTAAGGGGATGGAGGGTCTTTTACAAGCAAAACTTATTTCAGCAAGTGTTTGGGCTAGGATTTAGGAATTTAATTTGGAGGAAGCCTTTTCCACTTTCACATTAAACCCAATATATCATGTTAACTCTGCTTTCCAAAGACACATAAAATCGTTAGAGACAGATACATCGGGCAACAAAATGAAATAGGTGGCCACAGAAGGAAAGAAAAACTGGGAGAAAGACTGCAACAGCAGAGTCCCAGGATGCCTCACACAGGAGGCGGTAACCCTGCTGCCTACTCCAGAGGCTTGTGTCATTGTGGCCAGTTGGCTCTTTACATAATGAATTTGCTTTTTTAAAAATATCAATTATTTGAGAAATTCATACAATGTGTTTTGATCATACTCACCTGTAGCTAGAGTTTTCCTGCCTTGCCCACAGTCAGGACAAATCTCTGTCACCCGCCAGTCCCATAGCTGCTCAGACCCAACCAAGTAAACACAGAGACTTATATTGCTTACAAACTGTATGGCCATGGCAGGCTTCTTGCTAACTGTTCTTATATCTTAAATTAATCCATTTCCATAAATCTATACCTTGCCATGTGGCTTGTGGCTTACCAGTGTCTTCATATGTGGCTTGTCATGGTGGTGGCTGGCAGTGACTCCTTCTGCCTTCCTGTTCTTTTTCTCCTCCGTTAGTCCTGCCTATACTTCCTGCCTAGCCACTGGCCAATCAGTGTTTTATTTATTGATCAATCAGAGCAACAGATTTGACATACAGACCATCCCACAGCACTTCCCCTATTTTTTTTTTTTTCAAAAAGGAAGGTTTTAACTTTTACACATCTCCAAAGCCAGCTTGGTATATTTGGGAATTTGGGCGTAGCTTCTCTTACTACTTCCTGCTAGAGGGGGGCGCTGTATCTTATGGGGACACAAAGAAAATTTTAGGATTATGGAGTAGTCCGTGAGGCTGTATTGTCTGAGCCAGTTGCCTTGAAACGATTCCCAGATCCACTCCCATCTCGCTATCCACCCAACTTTGTGTTCTTTCCCCACCCCAAATTGTGTTGCACAAACACTCTTGGGTGCAGGGCCTGCCCTTATGTAATCAAGTTTCTAATGAGAACTCTTATCAATTCATGAGCTAGGTATAATGTTTTGGCAGTTTATACAATGAAGGTTTACTTTTCAACTTGAAACAGGAAAGTTAATGTGGAACTCATTTGTCTGACTGCTATCCTAGCACTCAGGAGGCAGAGGCAAGAGAATCTTGAGTTCAAAGCCTGCCTGGACTGACTCTTTACAATAGAGTACAACAGAGTTCAAGAACAGCCTGTCTCAAATCTCTCTCTCTCTCTCTCTCTCTCTCTCTCTCTCTCTCTCTCTCTCTCTCTGTCTGTCTCTCTCTCCTCTCTCTCTCTCCCTCCCTCTCTCTCTTCCTCCCTCCCCACCTCTCTCTCCACCTCCCTCCACCTCCCTCCCTTCCCCCACTTCCCTCTCTCCCCTTCCCCCTTTCTCTCTCTCCCCTTCCCCCACTTCTCTTTCTCCATTTGGACCAACTATCCGGATCACAAAAATATTTCACTTTACAAAAATCACTACAGGGGGAGCTGGAGAGATGGCTCAGCAGTTAAGAGCACTGGCTGCTCTTCCAGAGGTCCTGAGTTCAATTCCCAGCAACCACACAGTGGTTCACAACCATCTGTAATGAGATTTGGCATCTTCTTCTGGCCTGGAAACATACATGCAGACAGACACTGTCTACATAATCAATCAATCAATCAATCAATAAAGCTTTAAAAAATCACTACAGTGGCTGGGGAAATGGCTCAGTCAGTGAAGAGTCAGACACTCAAATATAAACACCTGAGTTCAGACCCTCAGCACCCAGATAAAAAACAGCGCTGCAATGTCTGTTCATAACCCAGCACTAGGGAAGCTGAGGTGGGTGGATCCCTGGAGCTCATTGACCAGCCAGCCTAGGCAAATCAACGAATTCAGCAAGAAACCCCGTCTCGAAAAACAAGGTGGACAGTGATCCAGGAAGACATCTGACATCAGCCTTGGCCTCTACACATGTGCAAACGTGTATTTGTGCACACACTCACATGAATATGTACACGTGTACACACACACACACACACACACACACACACACACACACACACACACATTTTTAAAATCACTCCATGATTCTTACTTAATTTTGAAAGCTTTCCTAGTTTGGTTTCTGTTACTATGATAAAATGTTCTAGGCAAAAGATACTTGGGAAGGAAAAAGTTTATTTGGCTTACATGTCCACCACTGGGGGAAGCCAAGGTAGGGACTGATGTAGAAACCACTGAGGAACACTACTTACTGGCTTGCTCAGCTTGATTTCATATGCAGCCCACACACCAGCCCAGGAACGGTACCACCTACAATGGGTTGTGCCCTCCCCATATTAAACATTAAGCAAGAAAATGGCCACACATATGCTCACAGGCTAATTTGATGAAGGCAATTCCTCAGTTGAGGTTCCTTCTTCTTGGGTGATTCTAGTTTGTGCCAAATTGGCAAAAACCAGCACAGAATTAGTTAAATCTTTGAATAAGAAGAACCTCTGGGGGCTAGAAAGATGTCTCAGAGGTTAAGAGCACTGGCTGCTGTACCAGAGACTTGGGTTTGATTTTCAGCACCCACATGGTGACTTAAAACGATTTGTAACCCAGTCCCAGAGGATCCAGTGCTGTCACTGGCCTCCATAGACATTGCATAGATTTGGTGTACTGCCCACAGGTGTAGGCAAAGCACCCATTCATAGATATAAAATAGACATAAAATAAAAGTGAAAAAATTGTAAAGAATCCCTGGTATATTTTAAATGCTACAAGAAGCAAAATCACACACCTGTGCTGAGCAAAGCATTTGACTTATAGTTGCCTGCATTGTGAGTTCAGCGTTTCTTGTGGAAAGCTCTACAATAGAAAGTTTAATCTGTATAGGAATAAATCTTGGCTATATAAATGAAAATGGCCTGATAGCTGTCAATAGAAACAATTTCCAAAAATGCACTGAACAGTAATTATAACTTAATTTTTTGTCAGAGTTCTAAAATTATAGATAAATCTAATTCTGTAGTTTAGCCTAGTATTCTAAATACAGGTCAAATGGAGATATCAGCTATGGATAATATTTTATTTATTATGATGTTTGAAGAATTTTAAGACCACTTTATGCGGATAATAGTTCTCACCAAGCATGAAGCCATAAGGGAAAACATATGCTTAGTATGTATCTGGGAAAATGCCCGGGTAACTTTAGAGCTGACTTTCTTCTAGTTCTTCTCTGTATGACGGTGACAACCTTTTACAGTCACCGTCACCATCCATCCAGCCTTCCCTGCTCCAGACACTGTATAAATAGATTGCCCCCTCAGCATTACTTTCTTTATTATAATGGTGTAAATTTTGCACACAGAAATGAGTTAAAACTAACAATTCCATCATGCTAAGCTTTACTTTCAAAACTCACTTTTTCAGGAGATGGCTCTGAAGGAACAACACCTTAGGTTGTCTGCCCTCACACACAATTAAAATCTCAACTTTGGGCAGAACTTTTTTCAGGGAAGTCTTACTTTTAG